TGAAAGAAAGAAGAATGCAGTAAAAGAAAGAAGATGTTTGTGTCACCCTTATTTTATTTTTATTTTTTCTCCCTCTGCCTATCGATTTTCCTTTTCTACTCCTCTCTCCCTTGTGTTTGACACCTCTTCCTTCACTCTTGCCTCTTTCCCATAGCGTGCAAGTGGGCTGTTATGGCATACGGGGATGGGGGCAGCTCACGCTCAACTTCATCAACCGCTCAACTTCATCAACGTGTCGAGCCTTATACGTTAGAGGCATCGTGGAGGAGGCGTTAACAAGACTGACAAACTGAATGATTTCAATGTGTCTTTGTTTTTGATTTTTATCCTTTGATTCAGTGTAAATATTTTTTTGTAAAACACTGAAAGAAATAATATTACTGTGAAACAAAGTGTCATTCTGGTTTGTCTGTCTCTTTGCCTGTCCGTTCTTTCATTTTTCTTTTCTTTGCTCATCTTATTTCTTCTTCTACTTCACGTGCTCATGCTCTTAGTCAATAGTTCTATGACGATATATATATATATATATATATTGTGACGATATATATATATATATATGTATATAGGGTTCAACCTCCTGATGAGTCGGTGAAACTCTAACGAAACAGTTTGTCACAGCCCCTCGTTTCTTGTCCTCTTCTCCCTCTCTGCCTGACGATATATATATCTATATATATTTATGTATATGTATATTGTCACAAAGCTGTCAGAGCGCAAAAGCGAAAAAAAAACAAAGAAAAATGAATTCATTTTTCTTGAAAAATCTTCTTCCTTACAACTCCTCCTGTTCAGAACCTCTTGCGTACATGTCACAGCCCCTCGTTTGTTGTCCTCTTCTCTCTCTCTGCCTACGGTTTACCGGACAGTTCTATTTGTGACGATATATATATATATACGGACAGTTCTGTTTGTGACGATATATATATTAAGTCCAAACGGGGTTTGACTGAACCTGAATCCTTACAGGGACTCCCAAAAAAAAAAAAAAAAAAAAAAATCCTTACAGGGACGCCCCCGACCACCGGCCCAACCGCCCGAACGTTCGGGGGTCCACCGGGGCTCCCAGAGTGCAAGGCCTCCAATCAATATGGCGGCTCTCGTATTCCGGCTACGAGAGCAGCTTGTGGCCGCACCAGGCCGGAAGGTGTCTGAACCGGCAAAAGCGGTTCCAAGAGCGGCAGGAAAAACTCCCATTGGCGCGCCGGAAATTTACAAATCTTACCCGATCTCTTGTGGATTACGGCAACCCTGGAAGGTAACCAGCTTCCCGCGTCGGGCCCAGCCACGAGGGGCGGGATTTTGGAACCAGGCACGACACGGGAGGTTGGGTGGCTGGTGGGAGGTTGGGCGGGGCGGAGCACCGCCACAAGCTTTGCCTTTTTTGAGTGATGGCGAGAAAAGGCGAGGTTTGGTCGACACACAGTTCGTGCGGGCATGCCAACATGCGCTGACGTGGTGCAGGTCTGTGTCCCGTGGTGTTCGGCCGGCTTTGCCGCCCGTTGCTTTTTCCCCGCCGCGCTGTCTCGCCGTGAGTAGGCGAGCGACTTCCGCACCCCAGGCGCGCGTCACACTTGACGGCGCACTGGACGGCGCACAGGTGCTCGTTGTGTCTGCCTGCTGATTGTTTGAATTCACACACGTTATAAAGGAAGCGGTCAGCGATGGCGGCCTTCACACTCTTCAGCTCGATGATTGGAAACAATGCTGAGCTGTCGTTTGTCAGCAACATCGTCAGGGAGCGCAGCAACACCTTCTCTTCTGCCAATTGCCAAGAGCATCTCGCGTCACGGCCCGGTGTCGTCATCCCCGTAGCTGCCTCGCAATCACGCGGTGTCGGTACTCGACGGGTAAGTGAACAATCGACTGGGTCGCTCTCGTCGATGGAGTTGCTTTCTCTTACGTCTCTCCATCCTGTTCTCTCTATTGTGCATGTGCATGAATCTCTCTGCGAGTTCTTTTTTTTCCCCTTTTTCGGTGCATGATTTTTTCCCTGAAGTTCGTCTTTTTGGGAAATGCCCCGGAAGGTTAGAAAACCCTTCATGCACAACAACATCGAGGTCGCAGACATTCACGTCCTCGTTGTCACATGCACACCATAGACTAGATGGGATCACGATTGGAAAACCTCTTTCATGTGCACACCATGGACGATCACGATTGGAAAACCTCTTACGCATGCTAGCGGCTGTCCGCACATTTTGGATTATGCATGTTAGCTCCAGTCGACAAACATGCATAGACATGGGAGGCACGGTTGTCATCGTTGTCAATCTGGTGTGCTCGTGTTTTTAGCCTCTCCATGAGTCAACCGAAGTCCGATGGATCAGTCTGTCATCGACAACAACACACATGTTTGGAACTGTGTTTAGTTGTCTTTTGAAAAGAGAGAGAGAGAGAGAGAGAGAGAGAGAGAGAGAGAGAGAGAGAGAGAGGTGGATGGGCTCAAACGGATGGCAATTACATGCGCAATCAAGGACTGCCCTGAAGGCGTAAACCATCGGTGGTGGAGCTAATGAACTGGTGTTGTTGAGCTAGCAACCTTTCGAATAGTAAGCATATTCATCTTCTTAGCCAGTACTTCTTGTGTGTGGGCGGGCCCAAAACAAGAAACGAAAATACAAGAGGCGCTTACTTAATTCTTTTTCTGCCTGATATAAGGACCTGTTTTTCCCGAAAAAAAAGAAACGTTGGGAGTTGAGGAAGACAAATGTGGATCTCGGAAACGGACGAGATGAATGAGGCAATAGCCTCGGCATAGGTCCATAATGATGAGTGTGGATCAACCCCCAAATTTTCCCCTTCCCCCCCCCCCCCCCCCCCCCCCCCCCCCCCAACCCCCGCCGATCCCCGCCCCGCTCACATTTCGCTTGTCTGCTGCCCCTGCTTCGGTGCTTCGCACTCGGAGTTAGAATGAGAGCTTTCACCCTTAGTTGTCTGAAGAATATATCGCTAGTTTTCCTGAAGCCAGAAAAACTGGTGATCAGACTGCGCATGTGGCAAACATGCCAACGGCCAGAGCATGGATCATAGAGTTCCTAAGAACTCAGACACAGTCCCATAGGGCTCTCCGAATGCATCCGACGTAGGCGCACGCATGAGATATCACGCAAATCAGGCATAGTTCACTCGAAAGAGATGCACTCAGAGAGAAAGCAGATTTGCACACATCTTAGATGTCATAATTCCGAACGAGCAAGACAAGAGGTAGCTCCGTCCTCCCAGTCCACCACGGTTATGGTCTCAGTATCGTCGTGCTCCGCCGTCTCGTCTCATCCTATCCTCTTTGCATCTGCTGGCTGTCCCCAATACCGATATTTCGGCCGGTGCCAGTTCCAGCCTCATCGGGGGGTCCCATCCCGTGCCTAGGCTGCCAAAGCTGTGTGTACCCCTGTACGAATGCAGGTCGTTTGTACGCTCGAACGGCCGTACGAACGGGCCCTCGTACGAACGGCCGGAAGCGTTTTAAGGGGGAGGGGGGATGATGCATGTCGGGGGCTACCCCCCAGACAGAAAAAAAACAAAAAAAGAGTGGAAAAAAAGACTGATTGATTGATTGATTGATTGTGTAATAGGGGACAAACAAGCAAAAAATAAAATCACGTCCATAATTTTTTTTTTGATTGATTGATTGATTGATTGATTGGTCGGAAGAGCGGTGGGCTACCCCCCAGACCCAAAAAAAACAAAAAAAGAGTCTGAAAAAAAGACTGATTGATTGATTGATTGTGTAATAGGGGAAAAACAAGCAAAAAATAAAATCACGTCCATATATTTTTTTTTGATTGATTGATTGATTGATTGATTGGTCGGGGGAGGGTCGCCCTCTCCCCCCCTTCACACACGCACACATGCACACACACACGCGAACGCACCATCTCTCTCTGTCTCCCTCTCTATTTCTCTCGCGCACGAGAGAGACAGACAGCGGAAGGTGCGTCTCTCTCTGTGTCTCCCTCTCTCACTCTTTCGCCCGCGGGCGCGCACAGAGAGAGAGACAGACAGAGGGAGGGTGTACGTTCCCTCCCACTTTGTTTTTGGTTCATCCAGTCAATCAATCAATCAATAGATCAGTCAACAAGCAAACGAAATACAATCAGTCAATCAATCAATCAATCAATCAATTTATTTCTTTATTATTATTATTTTTTAAACTATTACTATTATTGTCAGAAAATCTAAGAACAGACCAAACCAAAAAAAAAGGGTTGTAGAGCACAAAATGCTGTACAACCCATTTTCTTTTTTTATCCCTTATTTGTTCGTATGGTGGCCACGAACCGTCGTTCGAACGTTCTGCCGTTCGTATGTTCGTACGACAAAACCCGTAGTACGGGGGTGGACACAGTGCCAAATGCACTAGCTATTTCAGTGCTCGTACTTAGCCAGGTTCGTAGGTACTTCCTACTTCCCCGGCTTTGGAGACGTCAAGAAGTTTAGTATGCCCCGCCACTTTGGGCGTCGGTCCACTACCCTCGACTTGAAAAGAGACTCCACAGAAGGGCAGCCCTACACGGGCCCTCGAGCCTAAACGTAATTAAAAAATACTAGAAGTCAGCGTAGTTCCACTACACCCCACAGTTCCCACTTGCAAAAGGAGTGGGGACATGTGCTGCGTCGTGGTTGAGTCAAGAGAATGCAGATTGGACTTATAAAAAACCAAAAAAAATAGACGGGGGGACCGAAAGCAACCTTCTGACACCGTTTTCAAGGGAATTCAGGGAAATTCGAAGTCACCGCTGGGAGGTGACTCGAAAATTGGGCTAGTTTGCCTGGGGGCTCGGCCCACTACACAGCATTGCGTTTAGTTGCGACAGCTTTGCGACTCCTAAGAGTCGTGGATTGTGAAAAAATCCACCGGTCGTTGGATATGTGCGCGGAGATGGCAGCTTTGGAGCCCAAACCGGACGTTTTCATTGGCAAAAAGCATGTCAGCGCAGCACACGGCGAGGCCCGCGGCGTTTAGTTTACTATCGTCAAAAATGTGTCATAGCTAACTAAACGCCCTAATTCCTCTTCGGTTGAATTTGCAGGCAGAATAGGCCTTCGCATGAAGGCTTTTAGTTTATTTGTGGTGGTTTCTTGTGTGTGGGCCGTTCTTGTGTGTCATAGCTTTGGAGCACTGATTTCCGGTAACACGTGAAGAGGCAGGGGTATTTACGCAACTCAACAGATGTAGCAATTCGAAGACCGGTCATGGTGGTTGATGGCCCTCCTGCTGTGCCGATCGGACGGCGTCAAAGCCTCCCAGTCATTGGCAGACAAGATTTTCCAGCCTGCCTTGGTGTCGCTCAGTATCATTTTCTGCTACTAAACTTTGCATGTGGGCCGAGGCCGGGCGCCCTACAGCCAGAGCGGGAATTTATTGTGGCCGGAATGTTAATCACTTGTTTTGGTGATTAGCGAATCTCAAGGGCGTAATGGAACGGTGCCGCCCTTGAGATTTTTTCAAGTCGAGGGTAGAGGAACGAGCCCTTTTTTCGATTTGTTTGTTCCCTGCCCCTTTTTGGGTTCTCAATTTCTTGGGGTCTCAGTATCGGCCCACATGCAATCCGAATAGTATAGGGCAGGGAGCCCTAAGGCTTCCCTTTTCTAATTGGTTTTTCATTGCTTTAGGGGTCCCGTGCGAACTGGAGGGAGAGGCAATTGCGAGGCCCTTGTCCTCGCCGAGCCCTATTGGGCCCTGTCTTCAGTATGCATGGCCACCCTAATTGAAGGCGGGCCTGCCAAATGAGGAGAGGCCTATTTTTTTTTGCGTTGGTTGCAAACGGGGAAATTCAGGCAGTTGTGCAGCGTCGGTTGGTTGAATGAGCCCAGGCCCTGCCTGCCTTGTTCCAAATGTATCTGAGGCAGGCCCTGGGCTAGATGCACGGCATGAACTGAACACAGGCCGCTTGGCAGTTGGACACGGGTAACGTCCCCAGGCCCTGGTACAGGGGCTCAGCCACTTGGGGCCTATCGGAAGCTTGCTGGGAGAGGCCCAGGCCAGCCAGGCAGCCCACGACTGGCAGCCACTTTCCATAAAGGAAAGGGCCTGGCTGCTGGCTGGACGTTCGCACACTTGCTGCTTATGTGCAGGTGCTGCTGCGCCAGCTGCCAAAGCGAGTGCCTACGCGCTCACGGGCGAGCAGGGAAGAAGCAGGCAGCCATAGCCGAGCTGCCCTTCGCATTGCCGGATGGGGTGCATGGTGGTCTTCGGGTGCATATGTGTGGAGGATCGAGGTTGTGAGTGAAGCGAGGGACATCTGCTCGTACTTCGGGAAGCTGTTGACGTCACCAGCGGCATTGTAGATAGGCTAGTTAGGATCTGCCATTTGTAGTCTGGGAGCTGAGCACCAGATAGGGATTTGACATTGGTTCATTATTGATGATGATGAGACTATTTCCAACATTGTCACTTGTGAGCTTTTGCTGTGCTCTTATTTGGTGGAACTCAAGTTGCAATTCTGCTTTTGGTCCGAGGTCAAGACTATCTGGTTTCATGTGTATGATGCTGCTTGGTTTTTGGAATTCACTATTGCTCATTTTCCTTGCATATTGGTATCGGATTGCGCTAGTCTGGCGCTTGTATTCTGCTTATGCGGTGCATGCACGCGGTTAGCTGGGTGAGCGACCGTGGGTAGCGTGCAGTGAGAAAGGCGAAGGCAAGCAGGTGACCCAGGCGGAGAGGGGTATTGCCAGGAAGGCTGTGTGGTGATATTGGGTGTTTCGCAGTGTGATGAGAACTATCTGATGTGCGACTGATGCTGAGGTGGAACGATAATGCTGGTTGTGCCGAGGCAATGATTGGTCATCACAATCGACGTCAGGTCATCTGATGAGAATATCTGTGGTTGGGGGCAGCTATTTT